CATATTAGCAGAACCATTCCCGTAATCGAACATTCTAAACTTTCCAGCACGCTTGATTTGTGCAAGATGGAGAGCCACTCGGAATGATACGCCCGGCATGTCGTTCATGTTATAATGTGGTATCCCTAACACACCAACCCAATTTGAGCTATCCCCACCAACAAAATAACTCATCAGGGTCTGAACCAGTCCTCCGACAGCAGGATAGTTATGAAAGTCTCGCGCCAACTTGTTCAGAAGCATGCGAAAGAACCTGGTTGGTATGTAAAAGGCAGGCACAAGAGGAGCCAGAAGAGGAGCCAATAGAAGAAAGACATTCTCCACAACCGTAAACATAAAGGTAGAATCACCATGGAAGCCAGCAGGTGACAGTAAAACCAGCCTAGAGAGTCTGTGGGGTTTCTCTTCTATTCTCTGCGTTATAATGTACATAAGTATTGCTGCTCCTCCCAAGCTATGGCAAATTGCACAGAGCTTGTATCGTTGACCATCATTTGTTTCTTCGTCAACATCAGGTTGACTAAGTTTCAATTCAGCAGTTTTAACTTGGTGAATCTTCTCTATCATTGCAGGAATATCCTGAGTCCCATGCTCATTGATGGAGTACTGCCAATACCTGCATTGTTTGCTATGTTCAGTAACTCAGCTTGTACTAAAGTACTTTAAGGAAATTGCTACTTTGTGTTTAACAAATCTGAAATATTGCAACCTCATTCCTCCCCCGCTGAAAATTTAAATCAGAAGGAATCAAGGATGAATATTTCATAAACAATATAACATGCAGATGCCAACTTACTGTCGTGATGAGATATTTTTGTTAACATGTTCCCTAGAAATCAAGCCACGAAAGTTACCGAGAAAAACATCATATCCTGTAGAAATACAAAGCATTAGCATATTTCTCACCAATAAAACTGTCTGTACTACAAGCATATACTTTCGAATGAAACATGCAAACCTTGATCATAGGCAGCAAATGCCGGTGAACCAACAACCCCATTAGACACCCAACTGGACAAGGGAAACAACCCATTAAAAATCATTCATAAAGCTCACTATATATAAAGCAAATTTTTTTGCAAAGGGTGCAAAATACAAGAGATAAGAACACTACTAGTAATGAGCGGATTGCCTTTTCATAAAGTAAATAAGTTATACCACTCTGAAATTGTAGCAGGAAGGACTATGTATCATTCTGATAGCCAGCGCCGCAAGCAAACCTCCACTCAACATTTATGGCATAGTTTCTAGAACACTTGGGGAAGGAAGGCTAGAAGAAATAACTTACCCCATAGATGAATCCAAAATTCCATGTTGTAGATAAACAGCTTTCCGGGAATCACGTCTGCAGCATCACAATAGAATATTAGACACCATATATTCAAAAAAAAGTTATTGTCTATGGAAGGAAAAAAAAGCCAAAAATATTGATTATACCTCGGGAGTCTTTCCAAGAGAAGAACATAGCCATCACTAGTGATCACATGAATAGCTTCATATGGGTACCTAAGAGAGACAAAAAAATTGAGCAATTTGCAGACCATGTGAAACATTCAAACGAAAAGTGAAAGGTTCTACGATCAAGTAAGCGGTACCAAAAGCCTTACCCAAGCTCTGTTATGACATCCTGACAAGTCCGAGCATCGGTATTTAGGGACTGCTGAAATGAAGTATTCCTTTCCTTAGGAGCTGGATCATTCTCTCCAAGTGTAGCAGTTGGAACAGTAACTTCTGTATCACTACTGTGGCTATCTTGAACACCACCGCTGCTCAGTGAACACCATCCTGATAGTGTCTTAAAAGCCACAGAAGGGGAAAGAACAAAATGCGCTGCCTTGTGAACAACATCAAAAACAGCTTCTATGAATATCTCGATTGCTAGATGAAGATCCTGTTAAGCACAAGTTAAAGATGAGAAATTGGAAGAGGAAACAAATGATGCATCTTATTTTAAAAGGGCATATTTAGCCTGCGCACAGACCTCAATGACTCCACGTCTCCTATCAGTGGTTCGGTGAACAATTTGATCCTTGAGAATCTGCACTTTATTTATAGGGCGTGTTTGTGGAGCCTCATTGCTTCCTGGTGCAGAAGAGGCTTTTGATGACCTAGAATAAGACAATTGCAAAATTCGAACTGGAATCCCAAACAGAAACCTCGCGGGAAACAGAATCCAGAAAAATATGTATCTGATCCACATCCACCACGACCAGCGCCTACCGTGCTTACTGAAACTAGAAGCCCGAGAGGCTCTTGAACTTTGAGAGGATGGTGATGTAGGAGATATGTCATCATCACTATCTTCATTTCCGTATGCGTAATCAAGGTTCGAACCATCAGAATCAGAATCCACAGAAAGCTCGTGTACAAAACGATTGAAAGAGGACACCCCACTACAAGCATGAAGCAAAATGGACATGTCATTCAGCAACAAATATTGATGCATGAAACGTTACACTTCTTACAAGAAGATACATAGATATTACATAAGAGGAACAAACTTCAAATACAAAACAACTACTTCCCACCAGAAAAAACACACATTCATTTGAACGATCCCAATTCCCACAATCACAGAACAAACTGCCAAGCGATAATAAATTCCAAAATTCTGAATTCAGTCAATTTTTCATACAAAATAGCTACTGGCCACGAAAAAATTACACCTTTCTCCATTCATTTATCATGAACAATCCCAATTCCACAAATAAAAAAATAAATTGCTACGTAATAAAAAAAATTCAAATTTCTGAATTCAGTCAATTATACGTTCAAAATAATTAGAGCCCACCAAAAAACTTACACTCAATACATTCATTCCCCGTAAATAATCCCAATTCCCACAAGCACAAAACAGATAACCAATATTTTCCAAATTTTCAAAAATTATGAATTCAATGAGCTTCGAAATTCTTCCATGATCAAAACCCAAAACTTACTTCTCCATCCAGCGAGGAAATCTGGGCCCGCGAAAGGTGGGCCTGAGCTCCCACCCATGAATGCCTTCGAGAATGTTCGCCTTCCCCGGCAGAAACGTCAGCAACAGAGCCGAAATTCCATTGATCAGCCGCACGATATTGTTCAGCGATTCGTACGTTAACGTCTTCACTGACCTGCAAATTCGAAAACGATCCCAAACAACCGAATTCGACATCTTTTTACAAAAACAATTCGAACCAAATCAATTTGAAACGAAGGGATCGGGGAACTCACTCTTTGGTGACGGCGATGATGTTGTCAACGAACAGTTGAATCATCTCATAACAGTATAATTAAATTTTGATTTTTTGTATCGGATTTCAGAAAAATTAAATTAATGTCCGAAAATTCGAATTTGGAAATTACAGAATCGAAAAAACGAAAAATCCGAGCGGCAATTGGGAAGAAAAATCCAGAGCAAAATTTGGGGCCTCCGATATCGAGGGGAAGGAGGCGGGAGATGTTTGCGGTGCTGGGTGGAGGGTAGTACACGTGGCGGGCCCTGATTGGGTCGGAGTCAAACGCGTGTCGCTTTCAGCTTTTGCTGGATTTTGTGTTGAGGATCGCGTTTAACACGTAATGGTACCAGCTTCCTGATATATCAAATTTTTAGCTGGTGGGACCCAGGTGAAATGAACGGACAGGATTTTAAGGTGGTTAAAGGGGATTACGGGATTAATGACGTGTCGCGTGTGGATTTGGAGGAGTGTGGGGACCACGTGAGCTCTACGGTGTCACGCAGCCACAGAAACACGCATGAGGAGAGATGAATACATCTTGCCGACCTTATGTGAGTGGGAAAAATTAACGGAACATGATTTTTGTAATTAGATGGGTTATATGATCGAGCAGTGCTTTCTTACAAGGGAAGAATATGTTTTCAAGTGTAAAGTAATAAATAATAGGGGCGAGTCTGATTTGGTTCGATGCTAACCTCAGTACTATTTTTGTTTGCAATTTTTCAAATTTGTTAGAGCTACCACTCTATCATCCGATGCTAAATTTATGAGCATTGATACTTTTAAAGGCTCAACACTTTGGGCAGCTATATGTGATCAATTATGAATAAAAAGTTCCCGAGCATGAGAATGATCCAACAAAGCAACATTTATGTGGCTAATAATTCAAGAAAGTTAATCTCATAATTCTTGTTCCTTGTCGTATTATCGGTTACAACCAACTAGATATATTGAGTTAACATGTGTATGTTATTTATTTAGTTTAAATTGCCTATTAAATTATTCGATATCCCAATAATGTAGCTCTCTCGGACCAACCTTAAACTGCAAGAAGCCGTTCTTTGATACATCATTTAATTTGCAAATTTAGTTTAAAATATTGATCTCCCTAACATTACCCTTTGAAAAAACAGCTTCTTCATGACACAACTTCCCGATGCATTTCAAGAAGCGTGTTTTTTATTTTTCTTTTTGAAAAGCTACGGCATTTGATTCATTTAAAGAGAGAATCCATAATATTCATCACCAAGTACAAAACGTTGGGGCAAGTTTTAATAGAGCCAATCAACATCAACAATTACATTTGTCAGAAAGCAAAATGTCACACAAAATCTGGGGGTTCTTCAAACCAGAAACATTTGTAGGTGGTCGAGAGGATGTAGCAGGCACGACGGTGAGCAACCTTGAGTTGGATTGGCAACGAGCGTGGGTCGCATAAGCTCCAGTGATCTCAAGTAACATGGCCTTCGAATCCTCCACAATGTTCCCGATGAAAGATGAACATGGAGAGATGTACTCAAAACTTACAATGAGAAAAATTACCAAAACCATCCATAAACGTTTCTAAAATGTTTCTAATAAAAAACTCTTCGGTTATATATGAGCAAAAGGTAAACGAGCCCTAACATGCATACACATATTATTATACATTGTGTGTGTGTGTATATATATACATATATTATATTGTTCCGTTATTATGCATATGTCGATATCCTTATCGCGAACAATATGTCATTGATAATTTTTTGTTTGCAATGATACTCTATCGATGTGCGAGGAAACTGAACACTATATGTAGAGAATTCTTTTACTTAAATATTCAGTTTCGTACATAAAAACATGCAAGTAGTAAGTAATTTCTAATGGTAGAAAGAAGTTATAACATATACAAGTGGTTGAATTTGCGCTTGGATCCAATGGCGTACGACGCCCAGCGGAACAGGACTGAACTGTCTCCCCTTGACAGGGTTGCTGAGGACGTGTGACTGTGAGTGTCTTACGATTTCTGAGGGATTTGAATTGGATTTACCTATCTTCTCAAATTGTTTGACTTCAAAATTCCTGTTGCTTATGAAAACTTTGGCGCCACTGTAATTATCTTATACGCTGGTTTTATTAGGAAAATGAACTTCACACACTTAATCACCGGTCATCAGCTACAAATCTCCTTCTCCTCACACTCACGGGCAGCCCACCTTTCATCCTGAGAGTCAAGGACAACAGATGCTTAGGACACGTATCCCTATCCTGTACGCCGATCACAAACCTCTCCATCACCGATGCCGCAATCGACTTCATCTGAATATACGCCAAATCCTTCCCCAGACACATCCTTGGCCCAGCATGAAATATCGGATACCGGAAAGCACTCTCCTGCCGACATGTGCCGTCCTCGGTCAGCCACCGCTCCGGCAAATACTCGTGGCAGGTAGTCCCCCATATCTTCTCCATCCGCCCCATCGCGTAAGCATGGTACGTCACGAACCACCCCTTCCCCACGGCTGTCCCGTCCGGCAAGACATCATCGTTTAGACACGCCTTCGTGTCGACCGGTACGGGAGGGTACAGCCGCATCGCCTCTGAAATCGCCGCGTGCAAATAGTGCATGTCTCGGAGCTCGTCCAAATCATAAACATCGCCGATACGTTTCCCGTTTCGTACCCGAATCATTTCCAGCTCCTTTAAAATGGCGTGCTCCACGTGCGGTCTGGACGACAGGAGCCAGAAGAACCACGTCAGAGCCGATGATGTCGTGTCTCGGCCGGCGAGAATGATGCTTATCACGATATCTCGGAGAAAATCCGGCGAGTTGTTTTCGGGAATACCAATAAACAAGGACAACAAATCGTGACGATCCTCCGACAGTTCGTTGCTAATTCTCGACTTTATTATCTTATCCGCGAAGTTATGGACTGTCGAGATTGATTCTTTTAACCTCCGCTCTGATCCAACGTTCAAAAACGTCTTTATCTTTTGAATAAACTGAAACGCGTACAAAAATCTCCCAGAGATAAGTGTGGCCGCTTCTTCAAATGCCTGCATGAACCGATCCGGATTGGGATTGGAATCGAAGTCCGTGGACTCAGATTTTCCGCCGCCGCCGCTTCCGAGACAATTCGGGTCCACATTAAAAGCCAATTTGCAAACGTTGTCGAAAGCAAAGCGCTCCAAAACATCTTGCAAGTCCAAACGGCGTCCTGTTTCGGCGGCTGTGTCCAGAGACGGAATTAACCTCGACTCAATCTCAACCCTAACGTTTTCCATAACGAAGTTCCGGAGCGATTTCGTGTTGAAGGCGTAGCTGGCGGTCTTCCTCTGAACCTTCCAGAGCTCGCCGTCGGAGTTGAAGATTCCGCCGCCGAGAAAGTCTTGGATAAGAGATATGAACCTTTCCCCTTTCGGGTAGTTCTCGAAGTTGGTTTTCAGCATGTGCTCGACGTTGGCAGGGTTGGCGGTGATGATGCCGCGGATTTTTACCGGGCGGCTGATGATGGCGGTGCTGGTGGGGCAGCTGGTGAGGATTTCGGTTGTCCAATCGAGGAACCGGTGGCGGTTTTTTAGGAATTCCGGTAGGGTTCCGAGAATCAGGTAGCTTTTGAAGCCGGTGTGTTTGTACGTCTTCGACGAAGCGAAGAAGTGGTGGTAGATGTAGAAGGAGAGGGAGAGAAGGAGGAGGAGGAAAGATTGCAGGGAGAAGAGCTCCATGGCTATCTGCAAATATTGTTAGTGCCGGAGTGAGACGATCGAGCGGATATATATGCTGTTAAAAATTAAAATATAGTGGCAGAGACTCAGTGCCACACAAAGTCCAGAACCGGATATTTTCCACAGAATGTTTCTCATACGACGTGTCGTTAATTAACACCATCAGAAAATCGAAGGCAGTGCCGCAGTGGTCACGGACCACACAACATGTATATGCCACACATCTCAACTTCCAGTCTTTTGTGGCACAAACACTCTGACTTTTAGAGAGAGAGAGAGAGTGTGTGTGTGTGTGTGTGAGAGAGGAGAGAGAGGCTCATGGTTGCCATCTGCGGTCGAATCCATCTTTCGCCAAACCATGGATTCAATCTCAACAAATCAGGTACTTTTTGTTTCTGAGCTCTTCCAAATTTGAGCAAAATTTCAGTTTATCCATTTGTGGAGATGGTTAAAACTATTTTATGCATTTTCTCTGGCACAAATTTTGTATTTTTTGTACTCTAATTTTTCAACTCTTAAAATTGAGAAACTTTTCATGCGCCGGTGACAAAATCTCAAGTAATCATGCATAATACGTAGCATAATAAAATTTGATTCCTAAAAATCTTTTATGCATTTTCTTAGGAACAATATGTAGGTTTTGTGCAAGTTGAGTTGTCCTCTAAATTTTGAACTCTTTAACATTAAGAAAACTTCCATGCACATGGTGTTGCAGAGATGATATCTCAAGTCAATCACATATTGTCATATGTGAAAGTTAAAATATGTGATAGTGCATGACTGACTTGAAGTATCAACAATCGATGTGGTATCACTGCCATAGATAAGTTTTTCTCTTTTACATTCCTATGTTTCTGAGTAAACATGCTTGGGTTGTTGGTTAACTCAAGGTTTTATTATTGATCATGTAGCAGGTGATAAACATTATTTTCATAGACAAAGTCCAAATCGGAGCATCTTGATGACAGCATCGAGCACCAGGCTTGGCACAGGTGGTGGGGTGTTAGACAAGCCAACCATAGAGAAAACAACTCCTAGTCGTGACTCTGAGTTTGACGTGAGGTAAATAAAGTAGAAATTTATGCTGCGTTTAGACGAGAGATTTTAAAGTTATACAGAACTTATATTAAACTTCTTCAAAATGCACTACAAAAGTTAGAAGATTTGAAATGACTAGATGCAATATATTATAGGCTGGACTGAACTGTCTCCCCTCGACAGGGTTCTACCACGGACTACTAGTGTCGGAACGAGTAGACGACGATGGTGATGAGGACGTGTGACTGTGAGTGTCTTACGATTTCTGAGGGATTTGAATTGGATTTGCCTATATAATATATATCTTCTCAAATTGTTGACTTTTTTACTTCCAAATTCCTGTTGCTTATGAAAACTTTGGCGCCACTGTAATTATCTTATAGGCTGGTTTTATTGGGAAAATGAACTTCACACACTTAATTTCTGTTTATTTTTTAACCTTGATTTTACTCTTCATTCTTAATAATTCTGGATTGCAATGAATCTTGTGAACAGGATTTAGTTCTTTAATTAGAGCACCAATAGGAGAGTGCTAGCAATGTGTTGTGGCCTATTTTTTCTGAGGGGTGTGGCAAAGAGAGAAAGAGAGGTATTAACGGCTTAAGGAATTCTCTGTGTATTATTTTTCATGCTTTGTGCCATTAATTATAGTAAACAGAAAAGGGTCTCTTGCCTTCCAATTAATAAAATCATAATCGAATAGAATCTTCTAATATCCTAAGTACAATCTACTAGTAATTTACATAACATCACATAATCACCGGTCATCAGCTAAAAATCTCCTCCTCACACTTACGGGTAATCCACCTTTCATCATGAGAGTCAAGGACATCAGATGCTCAGGACACGTATCCCTATCCTGTACGTTGATCACAAACCTCTCCATCACCGATGCCGCAATCTACTTAATCTGAATATACGCCAAATCCTTCCCCAGACACATCCTTGGCCCGACATGAAATATCGGATACCGGAAAACACTCTCCTGCCGACACGTGCCGTCCTCTGTCAGCCACCGCTTCAGCAAATACTCGCGGCAGTTAGTCCCTCATATCCTCTCCATCCGCCATATCGCGTAAGCATGGTATGTCACGAACCACCCCTTCCCCACGGCTGTCCCGTCTGGCAAGACATCGTTGTTTAGACACGCCTTCGTGTCGACCGGTACGGGAAGTTACAGCCGCATTGCCTCTGAAATTACCACTTGCAAGGAGTGCATTTCTCAGAGCTCGTCCAAATCATAAACATCGTCGATACGTTTCCCGTTTCATACCCGAATCATTTCTAGCTCCTTTAAAATGGCACGCTCCACGTGCGGCCTGGACGACAGGAGCCAGAAGAACCACGTCAGAGCCGATGATGTCGAGTCTCGGCTGGCGAGAATGATGCTTATCACGATGTCTCTGAGAAAATTCGGCGAGTTGGTGTTTTTGGGAATACCAATAAACAAGGACAACAAATCATAACGATTATTTGACCGTTCGTCGCTAATTCTTGACTTTATAATCTTACCCGCGAAGCTATGGACGGTCGAGATTGATTTTTTTAACCTTCGCTCTGATCCAACATTGAAAAACGTCTTAATCTTTAGCATAAACTGAAACGCATACAAAAATCTCCCAGAGATAAGTGTGGCTGCTTCTTCAAATGCCTGCATGAACTGATCCAGATTGGGATTGGAATCGAAATCGGTGGACTCAGATTTTCCACCAGCTCCACTTCCGAGACAATTTAGGTCTACATTAAAAGCCAACTTACAAACGTTGTCGAAAGCAAAGCGCTCCAAAACATCTTGCAAGTCTAAACAACATCATGTTTCGGGGGTTGTGTCCAAAGACGGAATTAACCTCAACTCAATCTCAACCCTAACACTTTCCATAACGAAGTTCCTAAGCGATTTCATGTTGAAGGCGTAGCTGGCGGTCTTCCTCTAGACCTTCAAGAGCTCGCCGTCGGAGTTGAAAATTCTGCCGTCGAGAAAGTCTTCGAGGAGGGATATGAACCTTTCGCCTTTTAGTTCTCGAAGTTGGTTTTCAACATGTGCTCGACGTTGGCAAGGTTGACGGTTATTACACCGCGGATTTTTACTGAGCGGTTGAAGATTACGGTTGTTAATGCACAAAATCAGTGAGGACTTTGGTACAACAAAAAGTGTTAAGTTTATGACATTCGCTAAATTGCTCCGGTCACTAGTATGGATAAATATGCAAATGGATAGAGACAGGGAAGCAAACACAAGATGTGCGTGGTTCACCCAGATTGGCTACGTCCACGGAGTACAGGAGTTTTCATTAATTGTGAAAGGTTTACACAAGTACATAGGTTCAAGCTCTCCTTTAGTGAGTACTAGTACAAATGCCATTAGGAAATATTGTGGGAGAATGATCTCCTTTTATAGAAGAGAGTTTCTAGCTTTGTTCTGACATTGACATATGTCGTGTTATGATTGGCTTCCGATGTTGACACGTGTCGCGCTATGATTGGCTTCTGATGTCGACACATGTTGCGCTGTGATTGGCCTCCTGGTTGGAGAGAAACTCTTCTGGGTCCTTGACGGTATAACGTTGACCGGTGCTCGGTAGTTTCGGGATTGGTCAAGTATGGTACAAATAGTGCTTCCCTAAGTTCCCGAGTGAGGGAAGCTCCTCAGTTGGGGACTTGCAAGATCCAAGCCGCTGAGTAATCATGAAACTTCTAAATACCGAAGTGTGATATCGTCTTCACTTGTCTTATCTGTCTCACAGGTAGATGTGGCATCTTCTCGGGAAGTACTTTTCCTCCATCCAGGGGTGGTATATTTAACCGGTAGAGATGCACAAGGTAATGTATCAATTTGACTTGAAGCTTACTTGTAGTTTCAGACTTGGTCAAGCACAATACAAATCATGTAGTATGAGTCCCCCAAGTCGCCGAGCTAGGAGATTTGCCGAAAAAGGTGACAGACAAGGTAAACAGTCAGAGTTCCAAGCAATCAGTCCCAGATCAGAAGTTTGATTTTGAGTTCCGGCTGATTGTTCCCATTCTCCCTATCTTACAGGCAGCTAGAAGGATAAAGAGAAGAAAAAAAAAAGGAGAAGATATGATATGAGATACTTTTACTTTTGAAAAAGTAACTTTCCATATGCTTATTCTTGAACTGGTCTGGAGGGTTTTTTGGTTTCTTCCAAAGTATAAGGCCGACTCAAGAATTTGAGGGTCAAAACAAGTCCATCAAATCTAGAGTACGTTCGACCCTGATGATATGGGATACTTGCTGTTGACAAAGTAGTGGATGAATTAGCACGTGTTCTGTTGTGCTTGTCTCCACATGCTTCCTTGTATCCATCTCACTTACCCTATCTGTTCATCAGGCAGATGTGGTATCTTTTCTGGAAGCATAAGATGTTGAAGATGAGTACTCAAGAGCAATGCCAGGTAAGTAATCAGGCAATGAGTTCCAGGTAGTCAATTCCTGACTGGAAGCTTGATTCCAAGTGCTGACTGATTGCTCTTTTTCTCCTTGTCTTGCAGGTAAGAACAAGGCCAAAGGAAAAAACAGGGAAAAAGCATGATATGAGATACTCTTGCTTTTAACCCTGATGATATGAGATATTCTTGCTCTGGTGTGGCTTGTTTGCAGAGGTATTATCGGGGGGAAAATAAGCTGAGTATTTCGAGAGATTCTGCTGAGAGTGCCCTCTCAGATGTGAAGAAAAGTTGAGCATTTTTTTATTTGCAGGTTTGCCTAGTTGTGGAGGATGAAGGTTGACATATATAGGAATTGTCCCAACAGCAAGTAGTAACGTTGTTCCTTTACCTTTCTCGGTCATAACAATGTAGTGGGAGCTGCAAGATTCAACTGTTTTAACTTTGTCAGAGCACTTTGAAAAAGTGGTTTATGGTATTTGGAAAGCTGATGTTGCGTGTGAAGATTGCAGATAAGTTTTATCCAAGGAAATTTTGGTCTCGAAGTTCAGAGAGCGGTGCCTCTTCAATTTTCAAACAAGCAATCATGTCGAGGACCTGGCTTTCGAGATTCGGATAACGGTGCCTCTTTGATTTTTGAGAAAACAATCTTGTTGGGAGTCTGACTTTAGAGATTCGGAGAGCGGTGCCTCTTCGATTTTTGAGAAAACAATCATGTTAGGAGTCTAGCTCTCGAGATTCGGAGAGCGGTACCTCTTCGATTTTTGAGAAAACAATCATGTTGTGAGTCTGGCTCTCGAGATTCGGGGAGCGGTGCCTCTTCGATTTTTGAGCAAGTAATCCTGTTAGGAGTGTTTTCTCGATGTGAGTAAAGGTTGGGCATTTTTGCTAGTCTGCCTTGCCACGGAGCACGGAGGTTGACACATGTAGGGAATTTCCAGTTATTAAGCAGTGATGCTGTTTCTTTACCCTTGTGGGTAATGGTAGGGTAGCTGGACCTTCAAAATTTATGTGTATAAACTTTGTCAGAGATCTTTGGCAAAGTTATATGTGGTACCCGATGAGCTAATGTTGCGTGTGGGGATTGTCAACATATTTTACTCAGGAAAATCTGCTTCTCGAAATTCAGAGAGTGATGTCTCTTTGATTTTTGAACCAACGACCTTATTGCCTTTTCTTTTATAGGGGCACCAATTGTGTGCAAGAAGTACATTCAGAGAGTTATTGCTTGCAGGAATTTTCCCCTTATTTTTGTACTTCAGAAATTTATTGCACCTCATTTCTCCTTCATCATTTCTGAGAAAGTTTGGCCCATCCGACTGTCGTTTTGACTTGAACTTTGGTGAAGAGGCAGCCATGCTTTCTCAAGACAATATATGGCGTCCATCATTCTTATCCCTTACTGGTCATCTTACCGTTGGGGACTCTGTGATGAAGAATGATATGACCGCTGCGGTGGTGGCCAGAAACCTTCTCACTCCCAAAGATAACAGACTACTTTCCAAACAATCTGATGAGTTGGCTATTAAGGATTCTCTGGCTCTCAGTGTTCAATGTGCAGGTTCTGTGTCTAATATTGCCCAACGCCTATTTGCTCGAACCTGCCAAGTTGAATCATTGGTGGCTAAAGTGATAAGTCTCAAACAAGAGATCAGAGGGCTCAAGCATGAGAATAAACAGTTGCACAGACTTACACATGACTATGCTACAAAGATGAAGAGGAAGCTCGACCAGTTGCAGGAATCTGATGGTCAGATTTTACTTGATCATCAGAGGTTTGTGGGTTTGTTCCAAAGACATTTATTGCCTTCGTCTTCTAGGGCTGTACCGCGTAATGAAGCTCCAAATGATCAACCTTCGGTGCCTTATCTTTCTCGGGTTCTGCCTAGTACTGAGGCTCCGAATGATCACCCTCTGGTGCCTCCTCTTTCTGGGGCTCTGCCGACTGCTGGGACTTCTCCTGAGCAACCTTTGTGAAGACTCATTCTTGTTTGTTTATTATGATTTATGTATATGTACATATTTGTAACTTATCGGAGATATC